TGTTTTTCCTGATAGGTCAGTATCCCTGCAAAATCAGCTGTTAAGTAATTTGCTCACTTCAGGATTTCAGAGTTACCCAAACACTGTTTCCTGAGTGTGCTTTCAGTGGCCTTCCCTGTATGCAAACCACAGTGCAAGTGCCTAGTGCTATGGGGAACCAAGTGCTGCGTGTCAGGTGGAGTCTCAGATTCACATCTATAAATGAGGATGGTTCCTGGGGTACCTAAGATTTATGGGCTTTATTTGTACATGTCAAGTCTTGCAACTTAAGCAGTATGTGTTCAATAAACATTAACTACTGCTGTTACTAGTCCCATAATTATTGATGCCATTAATTTTATTATCATTCTGCAAAAAAGCTAGGCCAGCAACACTGCAGAGGGGAGACATGGGCATTGCACCTCTCTTCTGAGATTTGTAGCTAGGAGCAATGAAGAGCCTAGCATTAACAGATTAGAGGATGTCCCAGAATTGTATCTCCCTCTGTTCTCATATGATAGCTTTGAAGTCTTTAGTTGGACAGTCTCCTTGGTAGCTTACCTTTGAGGACTGCAAATGTAATTAATTATGGGGATCTTAATGTGAAGTCAAAGCAATACCTACCTACGGAGGTTTTTGGATCATATATTGTATGAGTATAATGCTAACCAAGTGGGCACAGCATTGCAGTCTACATGCTCAGATCTACTACCTTTCCTCTCTCCATTCCTTTGTCATAAGTGATGGTACATGTCTATCTGAGTTTGGCTCCTTTTCCCTATCTGAGTTATTGCTATAGCCTCTCCACTGGTTCTCTTGTTCACATTTCTCCCTGTCTTCACTCCCAATGTCTCCTCAGAATGAATTCTCTCTAGATTAAATTCTTAGAATAAATTCATAGGAAAAAGGAAGAAAGAAAAAAGAAAGAGAAAGGCCCCTGGATACAGCTCAGCAGCACAGTACCTGGCTGGCAAGTGCGAGGGTGTGAGTTCAATACCCAGTACCAGGAAAAAAAAAAAGAAAGAAAGAAAAAGAAAATAAAAGGGAAGATTGAAGGAAGGAATGAAGGAAATAAAGAAGAAAAGGAGCCAGAAAGTTTATTCTTCACAATATTATGGCCTATAGATTCTGAACTCTCCCACTATTAAAACTGATAGAGAAGATATTTTTAAACACCTGTTAGAAAGTAGATGAACCCATGCCAGTCAAAGGCAAGTCTGAAGAGTCCCGGAATAAGGCATGAGTGTAAGAATCGAGGGAGACAAGCTAATCCTGGGACTCTAACCCTACCAGGCATTTCTGAATTTGGAGGGGCCAAATAGTACAGGAGCCAAAATTATACAACTTTGAGCTCCAAAACAAAACAGGTGAAGAATATGAAGAGGTAGTAAAGACACATGGAAGGAAAAAGAAATAGAGTGTTAGAGGGGGCTAATGCAGTAGAGACAGTAGAGGACAAGACAGTATTCAAAAATGCAGTGGGATTTCCAGTACCCCCCCCAAAGCAATGCTTTCAAATTATCTGAAATAATATAAAGAAAGCACAAAGAAAAACCATGTTTTAAATAAAAAGAATCTAAAGACATATCTTTTAGCTTTAAGGTAGACAAAAGTGTAAAATGTAATTATGAATTATGAAATGTAATTATTAATCTAGACTATTTTGTGGAAATAGTTTTATAAGAAAAAGTAGAAAACAAAGTTTCTGAAACAGCTGACACTGTAAAAACTGTGCCCATTGCCTCATGAAGTTCAAGAATGAAATCATGGACAGAGGGAAGTAGTTAGAGGGAAGGTGTTTATTGGCAGTATAAGAAAAAAGCAAGCTCTGGGAGGGTAGTCTGAAGGAGTCCCTGAAAGTGGGGTGCCAGTGTGAGCCCCTTAACTAGATCCTTTATGAATAAGCAGAGAGTGGAAATTTTCTCAGTTGTCCAGTGGTCATCTATCACAGGTGGCCCCTGGGGTTTAAAATCACCAATAAGGCTTAGACTTTCTAATGCAGAGTTCAAAGAAAACCGGTCACATTTTGCTCCATGTATTCCATTCATGTAAGAAACTGCTTTCCAAATCAGAGTCCTACCTCATTATTTTCTAGTGTTTGCTTTTTAATTGTTCTGTTTTATTTATTATGCATGTTCACATTTATATTCCTGAGCGCAGCAATATGTGCAGCTTGAGTTGACCCAGTGTACATGTTTTTTTCTTTGTGGCACTGACCAGCTGATTTTATCTTAGGTTCTGTCCTTAAGAGTGTCTGTAATCAAGAGGGTAAATCTTAAACAGAATAGTAGCAGTTTTTTTTTTTCAAAAATCATGCCTATCTCAGTAGTTTGTTTAAGCTAAGTTAATAGAGCCTGTTCTAACATAAAGATGATGGTACATTATCAGAATTAACACATTCCTAGGCCCTTGTATTTTGGGGAGGGAAAACAAGTATCTTTGGATTTGACATGCACATATTAAGAACTGCTATGAAAGCATGATCCAGACATAAAAGTGATATATTTTAATGAAGTTTGGTTAACACCCCTCTCCTAGCAGATACCTGGGTATTTGTTAAAATACATCTCTATACCAACTTCCTACCACCTCTCTCCTTTTGACCAGAAACAAAGTTTTAGTTTGGTAATCCTTTCCTTTGTTCTTCTCACTGTGTTCATTACACAGCTGCCGTGACAGTTTTTTACTGTTTTATGTGCTTAACAGCATATAGGCTATGCCCTTAACCACCACCCATTCCACAGCTCACACAGGGACCAGTGCTCTTCCCTCCTGTATCAGCCCTTTGTGTTCCCGTGCTGAGTGCGGGTTTTAAAGTCAGAAGACCTGACTCCGCCTCTAGAGCACCTGCCCAGCCAATCACTATGTTCCCCTTTCTCCTGAATTCCTCTTTTTTATACTTGCTTGTTTGTGGAAGTAATAATAGTGCCACGCTCTTTGGATCATGATGGGAGTTAGTTGAATTGGCACGTCTGTCATTCAGGGCACTGTTTTATAGCACACTAGCCATATATTGATGGGTGTTTGGTTTTTTGTCTTGTTGAGAGGTTGTGTGTTGCTTCATTTGTATCTTAAACAACTAACCTGTAACTGACCAACGATAAGACTAGGTCCTACCTTCTGGAAAGCTGGGTCAGTAATGGTGCAGTGGAGGGTGACCACATTAGTAACTCAAGAGTGATGCTAACCATCACATCTCACCCAGAGAGCTCTGTGGAATCGTTTCTAGGAGATTTTGTATGCTAAGAATAAAGACCATTTACATGGATCCATAGACAGATTTTACTTGGAAAGCTGAAAGATAGATTTGTATGTTTTGAACTGAAAGAATCTCAAGATTCTACTAAACTAACTGTAAAGCTTCAAGGAAAGCCTTTAAATACCTTTAAATAACCATGAAGCTCCTCATTATTCACTTTGATAATAAATATCAAAATAAATAGTTTTCTTGTAAGTTTCTTCACCATTTAGCCTGCGCTTTGCCTTAAATTGCACACATGACCTGTATTTTAAAATAAAGCAGCTGAAGTCCTGAGATGCTGAGTGAGTGAGTAGCAGTTTCCAAGGCAGGATAGGGCAAGGAGGACAGGTATAGAGCAAGGTGAGGTCTCCGAGGGGCTGGAAGCCAGCAGGTCTGCTTTCCCCCGCCACCTCCACTGACCCCTCTTCTCTCTGATGGCTCCCACATCTCCCAGTAACTTCTGTGTGCTGAGTTCGCATGCAGGCCATGTCACAATCTGTCATCTGTGGAACAGGGTAGTAAATATTTATTTTATGTTGGTTCTCTTTTATATTAGTCTCTGGTCTTCTTTAAGGAGAAGATTATGGGATGGTTATTTTGATCATATATTTTCGAGTGCACACTTTTAAACCTCCCCTAATGGAAACAGAAAGGGTGTTATTTTTTAATTTCCCCTGGAATCCTGCAGAGCGGATGTTATGAGGCCTTTCTTGCCAGGTGGGTATCTCAGTGTGGTGCTGGCAGGAGACCTGGAGTTCTGTAGGTGGAAGTCACCTCGCTTCCAAGCCTAAGAGTTCCAAATGTTCAGTCAAATGAGATTTAATTGATTTGCTTAAGAATATACTTCCTACAGAGTCAGGTATCCAAGTTAAATATCTCAAAGCAGTAAAATATTTGAAAAAAATTATAAGTAAATAGTCTTGCTTGTCTATTTGAACTAAGAAAATGTTTAGAAAACATTTAGGTGATAACATTGTCTTGCTACAGATTTTAATTCTATTAGCATTAAGACTAAGCAGAAAACTGTTTTATTAATGTATGCTTTTACCAGAACAATTTCTAAGAGTTCGTTAAATAGGTAGAGATATTCTAATTTGTATTTCAAAAATTAAACAAGAAAGCATAAAAGCTTCTGAAATAATTCATTTGGAGAATGTCTGCATTGATGCCTAATGTCTGCCTTGCTGTTGGTTCTGTAAATTTCAAAGATAAATAGCTGCTCTCAAGCCATTTGCAGAACAGTGAAAGAAGTTTAGACCAAAAAACAAATTGCATTGCAGCAAGATCTGTGGTGGAGATCTGCACAGGTTGCGTTGGAAATGGCAGCAGTTAAGGCTATAATCCAGTGAGGAGAGGAGAAGAGATAAATGCCAGGAAAGGATGAATGGTCCACTCACAATCTAGTCTTTAAGCTCCAATCTGGCTTTTTTAGTCTGTCACTCTGTAAATCATCTCTACTGGAAGACAAAAGGTAGAGCCATGCTGCAGATTGAAGCCATGCTGGGTTGCATTTGCAGCTTTTCATCTTCCTAGTTGCATAACTTTGAGCTGATTATTTCTCTGTACTTCCATTTTATAAAAGAGTCTTAATACTTACCTGGCAAGTATATGTGAGGAATAAACAAGAAAATAAAGGAGAAATACACTGCCTGGCACACCATGAAGCTCATCATTATTCATTTTGATAGCTACTAAGAGGGGGTTGCTGGTTATATTTTAGCTTCTCATTCTAAAATGCTGATTTCTTTCAAATAAAATATTACATTTTTTTCTCTTCCAGCTCCAAGAGGAAAGCGAGGATGGAAAACCTTTTATGCTGTCCTGAAGGGAACAGTTCTTTATTTGCAAAAGGTAAAAATACAACAGATAGAAAATAAAACCCACAAAACTTTATGAGCGTACCCCTTGTAAATACTCTGTACAAAACCTCACATCAAACACCCACAAGACTGATCAAGTTCATGGTGCGTTTATTTTTTGTTGAAATATTTGGTTCAGATACACACATACACAGTGCACACTCTATCAGAGGAATGAATGAGCTAAGTTCTAATTGCTCATTTAGGATTTTGGAGCATAAATTGGTCAGACCTCAAATGGTATTTACACTAGATTAGTTACAGCCTTCAATCTATGTTGTTATTTAACCTGTCTTGATTTCAGTCCTACCTAAAGGCAGACAAATTCATTTTCATTTCAGTCCTGATATACTCGTACTTAAGAGTGAAGATATATTCCAAACCACCCAAGTCTATTCCTTGCCAAGATCCGTTTTTTTATAGTCTCAGATTCTGGAGATCTGTGTGGGGTTCATGTGTAGGTTCTGCTTTTCTGAAGGACAGTCTTTTCCTAGTTCTGTGGAGGTAAGAACAGTTGTGTGTTGACTGGATTCTTGACTACAAAGAGTACCGTATTCCAAGGAAAGCCCAGCAGAATTTCAGTGCACTTGATAAGCCAGGCAGTAACAACACTGCCCTCAGTGGTGTCTGAAGCAAGATTTTTTTTTTTTTTTTAATTCTGGTTAAACAAACAAGCAAACAAGTGCTCTACCATCTTGTATTTTTAAATGTATGGCACAGCAGTGTTCACTGTGGGCCCAGTGTTATCTGTCTCAGTGAAATGTTTCACCCACTGCAGAGCAGTTTTCTAAGTCCACCCTCTCCAGCGCCTGGCAACCACTATTCTACTGTGCTTTTGTGCGTTTGGCTGATTTAGGTAATTTTAGATAATCTCAGTGATGTAAGAGGAATCAGGCAGAATTTGTTCTTCTTGACTGACTTATCTGGAGTCACAAAATGTCCTCAAAGCTCATCCGTGTAGTAGCATTATTTCAGAACCATCTTTTTTTTTTAAAGCTGCATGGTATTTTCTTTGTATTGCAATTTCTAACCTATTCATTCATCATGGAAATTTAGGTTATCTACCCCTTTGGTTATTGTGAAAAATGCTGCAGTAAACATGGAGTGCAACTATCTCTTCATGATACAGTATTTATTTTATTTATTTTAGATAAATATAGAACCCCATGCTGTGTTCCAAAGTCACTGCAGCATTTTACATCTCAACTATGTACATAAAGGGTCTAATTTCCTAATTAACACTCGTTATTTGTTGTTTCTTTGTAGTGGCCATCCTAATGTTCGTGAGGGGATATTTAGTTGTGATTTTGAATTGTTATTATAAATAAGAAAAATGAAAGTTATCTTTCCCACTGTCCTCTCACACCCAACACAGAAGTCTTCTATGATTCCTTAATTCTCCAGCAGACACGACCTGGGTGTGTTCTAATTCAACTCAATTGTGACAGCATCTGCATTGAGAAAGTTCCAGATCCCACAAATTGGGTTGCAGTCCCAAGAGACTGCCACCCACTTCAGATGCCAGTCACAAGTAACAGATTATCATCCATGCTGCTGACCCATGAGCTGTGAATCAGGAGTTCCCACAACCCCATCCTCACTTTCTCAGAATGGCTCACAGAATTCAGGAAAACCTTTTAGCTTTATTTACCCTTTTATTAGAAATCATATGGCAAAGGTTATAGATAAATGCCAGATGGAAGAGATCCACAGGGCAGGATATGGGAGAATGGCACACAGCTTCCATGCACTCTCCAGGTGCACCTCGCTCCAGGATCCTCCATCTGTTCAGCCCTCCAAATGCTCTTCTGAACCCAGCCCCTCTGGGTTTTTACAGAGGCTTCGTTATGTAAAAATGATTGATTAAATCATTTATATTTGTTATTCTGGTTGGTGACCTAGGGGACTGGGAATTGGGGCTTTAAATCCTGGTTTGTTTGATCTTTCTGGCTATCCGTCCTGAAGCCATCCAAGGATTACCTGCCACCAGTTATCTCATTAACACACAAAGGACACTTCTATCAATCAAGAATTCCCGGAGGTTTTAGGAACATGTGCCAGAAATGAATATGAAGTCTAAATATATTTATTATATTTTTGACACAGTGTCACTGGATCATCAACCTGTTTGACTTGAGAGATGTCCGAGATATTAGTAAAACACATTTCCAGGTGTGTCTGAGTGGTTCTCGGAGGTGTAACTTTGGAGCACTTTTTCTGGTGCCCTTCTCTGGCACTGTACCTGTGCTTTGCTTCCTGGTCACCATGAGCGAAGCTCTTTCACTTTGCCAGGCTCATCTGCCATGATGGTTGTGCCTTGCAAACAGCCCACCATGGACTGGACTCTCAAATGTGAGCCAAAATAAAACTTTCTCCTTTAAATTATAGGTGTCAGGTATTTTTTTTTAGTAATATATGTTCATGATACCTAATAATTCCATTCATCTTGATGATAAATGTAGGAAATCTTTGTACTTTTGTAGCTCTCTCTGCCCTGGGTGTTAGGTATTTTACCAGGAATCAGAAACAGTACAATTTATTTGTTTATACAATTTATGTACACATTATTTATCAATGATGCCACCTTTGCAATATTCCTGGTAATTAATCATGTTAAGCATGTTTTCAATGCCTGTTGGTTATTTGTATGTCTTTAGAGAAAATTCTATTTAAATTAATTGCTTTTTGAACAGGTTACTTACTGTCTTTGTAGTTGAAGTGAGTTGTTCCTTATGTTTTTAAGCATTAATTGCTAGTCATATACATTGCAAATATTTTCTCCCATTTCCCAAGTTACCATCTCAGAAAACTGTTTTCTTCTTTGCTGTGTAGAGCTTTTTAGTTTAATACAGTTACAACTGTCATTGATTTTATTAAATGTGCTTTTTGTGGGTCTCTCCAGAAGTCATAGCCAGCCTCAGTGTTCTGAAGTTTTTATCCTGTGTTTTCTTCTAGGAATTTTGTGACTTCACATCTTCAGTATTTAGATCTGTAATCCATTTTGAATTTGCGTGTGTGTGTGTGTGTGTGTGTGTGTGTGTATGTGTGTGTGCATGAGTGCACATGTGTGTGCATGTGTAGCAATATATGGATCTACTTTTTCTTTTATGTATATATGTAAACACTTTCTCACCAACCATTTGCAGTTGAAGGTACTGCATTTTCCTCACTGTATAACACTGGCATCCTTGTTGAAGATTATTTAACCTTATATATGTGGGATTTTATGGGACTCTCTGTTCTTTAAGTTGGTCTGTGTTATGATAGTACCATATTTTTTGATACAATAACTTTAAAATATATCTTGAAGTCAGTAATGTGAGTCCTAAAACATTTTTCTTCTTTATCTAGATTATTTTTGGCCATTTGGGGTTCTTTGTCATACTGCATGAAATTTAGGATTATATTTCTATTTCTGGAAAAAAAATACCTTTAGAGTATTAATAGAGTTTGCACTGGTTCTGCAGATTTTTTTAATAGTATAGACATTTTTAATAATTGTCATCCAATCCCTAAACACATTATGTTTTTCCATTTACTTGTGTCTTCTTTACTTCATTTTAACATTGTTTTATAGTTTTCAGTGTTTAAATCTTTTGGCTCCTTGATCAGGTTTATCACTCAGTATTTTGTGTACTTTATAATGTTGTTCTAGATAGGTCATTGATTTTCTTTTTCGATTCTTCATTGTTTATAGAAATGCAACTTGTTTTGTGCATTTTGTATTGTACAACTTTGCTCATTTTATTATTTCTAAAAGATTTTAAGGAAAACCTTTTTGATTTTCTGTGTATATATCTAAAATCATGTCAGACAGTTCTTAATTTGTTTAGTGCATTGAGCATGAGAGAATACTAAACTTTTCAAGTACTATTTGTTAAGATAGTGATTTGATTTTTTTCACCATTTGTTCTGCTAATGCAGGTATCATTTTGAGTGACTTCCATATATTAAACTCTTCTTTCATTTTAAAGATAACTAACTCCCTTTTGTTTTTGGCGAATGGTCCTTTTAATGTATTATTGAATACAGTTTGCTAAGATTTTAGTTAGGATTTGTGTATTTGTGTTTTTCAGAGTCATGGTAGTAACTTTCTTCTAGTTTTTGTTTGTTTCTTTTTTCTGATTTTGGTGGCAAGGGTCATAGTGTCCGCATGAGTTCAGACATGTTCTCTCCTCTGGGTTGAATTAATTCTTTAACTGTCTCTAGAATTCATTGGCAAAGCCATCTGGTCCTAGGCTTATTTTTCTTCAGAGGGTTGTCTTCATAGGGTTTTCCCTTTGTACTTACAGATTTACTCACATTTTCTGTTTCTCCATGATTCTATCTTGATAGGTCTTATTTTTATAGTAATCTATGCATTTGTTTTAAGTGACTCAATTTGTTGGTAAATACTTGTAATTTTTATAATCTATCTTTTGTAATATCATTTGCAGTGTCTCCTCTTTTACTTCTGATTTTATGTTCTTTCTGGCTAGTTAATAATTTATTGGTTTTCTTGATTAAAAAAAAGCAGATTCTTAGTCCACTTATGTTTTTTGGTTTGCAGTTCTCTTGCATTTGTTTCTGTTCTAATTTTCACTTTTCTTTATTCTGCTAACTGGTATTAGATTGTTCCTTATTTTCTAGTTACATTAGGCATAAAATCAAATTGAAATTTTTAAATGTAGGTGTGTACTTATAAACTTAAAATTTTGTATGTTGTGTCTATTTTCATTTGTCTTGATATTTTCCCATTTCTATGTTTATTTCTTTTTTTCCCCACTGCTAACTGAAAAGTATCTTGTTCAATTTTCATGTATTTGTGAAATATCCACTTACCTTTCTGTTATTTTCCCTCTGTTGTATTTGAGAAATATGACTGCCATGATTTCAGTTATCCAAAATATTTTAAGACTTGTTTGGTGACATAATCTATTCTAGAGAAAACATTCCATATGTACTTAAGTAGAAAGCTGAATGTTCTGCTGCTGTTGTGTGTGATGCTCTCTG